AAAATTTAGTTGGTTATGTGGATTCGGACTATGCTGGTGACTTAGACAAACGTCGTTTCACAACAGGCTATGTGTTTACACTTGCTAAAGGGCTTGTAAGTTGGAGGTCAATATTACAATTAACAGTAGCTTTGTCAACAACTGAGGCAGAGTACATGGCAGTAACAGAAGCTTTCAAAAAAGCTATTTGGTTACATGGGTTGATTGAAGATTTGGGAATTGTTCAAGATAATGTGGATATCCATTGTGATAGTCAAAGTGCTATTTGTCTTGCAAAGAATCAGGTTCATCATTCCTGCACCTAGCACATTGATGTTCGATTTCATTTTGTTCGAGAAATTGTGAATAAAGGGGATTTTCTGCTACAAAAGATTGGTACCGCAGATAATCCAGTTGACATGCTCACAAAATGTATCTCAGGAATCAAGTTCCAACATTGTTTGGACTTGGTCAACATCTCTCGGTCTTGAGCACCTTTAGGGTGCAGTGCCATATGGCGCAATAGAGGCAGCATTGATTGATCACGAGGATTGGATAAAAAAATCTTACCAAGGTGGAGATTTGTAGCAAATTGTCAACCTTTTTCCAACCACCATGACTTTTTAAAGCCCATAGCAAATTTGTAGCAAAAGCTCATAGCTCGATGGCCTCCACTGTCAAAGTCATTCTCCGCAATAACATTGGAAGATCTGATGCCTCAAACAACTGTGACAGGCTGAGAATTTTCTAAAAGATTTTGTATAATTAGTATGTGATTGTTCCTACTTATGTTATTTTCAATTTTCGTAGCTTTGTTTGTAATAAATTATTTCTCTGCTTTGTATTTTGTTTCTTCAACGATTAATATGTTTTAATACAGTATTATTATCAATCAAAGTGAATGAAGGCTCTTTGCTATGATGAGGACACCTGGGTTTCAAGATTCTGTTTCATCCCTTGTAATAAAGGAAATCTTCAATTCAATATTGAGCTGAAACGAATAAACTAGCATGAAAGGCTTCTAGAAGGAGATATATATACCAAGAATTGCTGCACATCCTATGCATCTGCACTTAAACTATGAATCCACACTGATTATGCTACAAAAACTTAAACTATCAACTGCACAGAGTTCACAGTGAACTCTCGAAGAATCCTCCGTGCAGCCTGGATTACAATAGCAAACTGTCAAAATGCATTTGAAACCAGATAACTTGGACTTATTATTTTTAATTTTATTTTTATTTAACTTTTTAATTTGTAAGATGTGTTTCTTATTATTTTAATAAATTTGAAGCAAATAAAATATTAATAAGTTATTTTTCAATTTATTTTTTATAATAAAACTAAATACTGAAAAGTAAAGGAATTAGTTTATGAAATTAGCAGCAGTGAGATTCAATTAATTAAACTATCATATAATACAAATTAACATAAAATTCCTCAGTAACATAACAATGTTCAAACTATTTTTTATTTTTTTTGTGTACGAAGCAGATAACTTGTTAATAAGCTGCTTCCAAGAAACTACGCATCACCGAAACCAACTCCTAAAATGATTTTGTTATTTGAGGCTTGTCCTACACAGGGGACAGAAGAATACTATATAAATATAAATCGATTTAAATTTATTTTATTAGATTATTTATGTTATACAGTCAGAAATACGTTGCGCTTTTCTTTTTCACTGCATAATATTTATCTCTATCAGAATTAAAAATATTTATAATTAAATATTTATTAACATTAAAATCAAGAATATTACAAATAAACTATCAATAATATAATATAACAAATCCTTAACAATTTAAAACAAAACCAATAATACAACCTATCTCAGATAAAAAGTTTAAAAAATAATAATATTTTTTATTTTACATAACCAATCTCGTATTATAAAATATCTGCTGGTTAGTTAGGGTTTCTAGTAAACATAAATACTAGACGACGACTCTTTAAATAAGACTATTCTCTATTAAAGAACAGGATGCTAAAAATTTATTTATTTTTATTGAATTAATTTTTAAAACCGTGTAATGTCGGGTGCATATTATTTTTTATTTTTTTAATGAAAACAGTTTAATCTAATTTAATCAATAATCCCAGTTGACTTATAACACAGTACTTACCCAAAGTGGAATTTAAAAACTATGGTGCATAGTCTAAGAAGCCTCGTATACTCGGTACCCTGTAATTAACCACTCGAAGGCTCTTCTTCTATGTATTACTGCATTGTATCACAGCACAAGCCAACTCAACTGAGTGAGTATTTCTTAGATGGTTATTGACGCAAACGAAAACAGCAAAATTAAAAATTAAAAATTTAAAAACAATGAATAATTATGTCAAATAATAATAATAATAAAATTATTATTATTATTAAATATTTTATATGCAAGTGGTCTGCTAAAATACAAGCTAAAAAACCTTTTTTTATGATAGTCCCAGGCCTATCTTGAAAAGGAAGGAAATCCTAATAAATAATTATAGAGTTATTCCATGAATTTTCTAAACTAAATAAGAAAGATAAAATTACCAACCACAATATTTTTTTTTTTTGGTGTAATGAAAGAAAAAAGAACAAACTAGCCTTCCCTACATTAGCTTGTACCAGAGGAGACAAGAAATCCCTGGAGGAGAGGTATCCTAAATATAAAACTCAATCATGTACTTTGCTCCCATCCTGGCTAGGATGTCTGCACAAAAGTTGGCTACATTTTATTTTTTTCACTGTTGAAAGCTTCCCTCAAGATATACAGTTTATTAACTGGATTGAATATGAATAAGAGCAAGCCCATAATCATTTTATTATAGGAACAATTAAAAGTCGTGTTCTAATATCAAAGTTGATACAGGATAATAAACAAAAATTGAAATAAGCAAGAGAAAAAAAGAAGCCAATAAGCAAAAAAAAAAACAAAACTAAAGGAGGAAAGAAGCTGAAAAGGAGAAAGAAAAGGAGGGTTGGAAAAGTATGCAACTCTGCAAATTATTTAATTGATCATCAATAATTCCCCTATAAAACAACTAACAATTAAGCTAGAGGCCACAAAAACAAAACTAGAGTCCAAAATAAAATAATATCAAGTTTTAATAACAAAAGTCAATTAAAAATAATAAATTAAACTCAAAAATAAAAATATAAGTTAAAACTCATTCTCCTAACATGTTAGACAATTATTTATTATTAATGATCATACAGCGCAAACTGTGTCTTGGATCTGATGTTAGCATCAACTGGGGTGATGATTTATTTATATATTTTCTAAAATAGTTCTCTTGTCAAATATATCAAGATTGGCTCGAATATCAGTTGAAACTTTATGAGAATATGTAGCTTTATTAAAAACATTATTTCTTCTTCCTCTCTTTTTAATAAAATCATTCTATACTTTTCTTCATCTCTCTTTATTTTTTTTTCTGTGTAAATCTTATTATCCTAACATGATATCAGAGCTTAGGAATTCTTGATATTGAGAACTTAACTTCTACACTCTATAATTTTTTATTCTTGTTTATTAATAAAATTGTGAATCAAAAAGCATAATTTCTTCTTCCTCTCTCTTTAATAGAATCCTTCTCTGCTTTTCTTCGTCTCTCTCAATTCCTCTTTCTATATAAATCTTACTATCCTAACATAGTATCAGAGCTTAGGAATTCTTCATCTTGAGAACTTAGCTTCTACACTCTATAATTTTTTATTCTTGTTTTTTATTTTGGCTTCATTCTTATCTTATTTATGAAATTCTTCTGTATTCATTAATGTGTTTATTATCTGTTTGATATATTGTTAAACTGAAAATTCTTCTTTAGATCTTCAACTTTCTACAAGATTCTTCCTTCTCAATCTTTGATTCTCTTCTTTTATACTTCTTACACTCTTAAAAAAAAATAGTGACTATTTTTTAACTTCAGATTGTTCAATCTCCTATTATCTGTTTGCTTTCTATGGTTTCTATTGCTGTGATAATCAAGCTTGATGATACACATTACTTGTTCCAATCTTATGCTTGGCTTCTCCAAGCCTGTGATTGAGGGGAAATGTTAAGATATCAAAAGCTCTAGCCCTATCACATGTCAAAAGATTAGAAAATAAAATCGTTAAAATGTTGGTAGTCTTATTTGTTAGTTAAGAGAATCATTTAGTATTGTTTAGTGAAAAATAAATAATGTGAATAAGCTTCCTACTATAACAATATATAAACTGGTGTCAAATAAGAGAACAACATTCAATTAATAAAACAATGAATCAAAAACAAAATTTCTTCTTCCTCCTTGTATAACATAATCCTTTTCTGCTTTTCTTCATCTCTCTTTGCTTTTTTTTTTTTTGTAAATCTTACTATCCTAATAGATCTTGCCTAGTAAAGATTCTGAGAATTGGGTTGAGTTTTGGTTTTAAAAACTTTTTTTTTTCTACTTAAATATTTGGATCTCATGTTTTATGTGTTTTTGAATAAATATAATTGAAAACAAGTTTAAAAGCCAAAAAAAACTTCTTTCCTAATTTTTTCTCCCAACACATTGGTGTAAAGATTCTAGGTAACAGGGGGCAATGTGCTGTGTTGGTTTTTTTTTTTTCTTAATACTTTTGGTTAAATACAATTTTTGGTAATCAACACATTCGGCTTTTTTTTATCAAAGGACATTTTCATCAAAATAAAAAATGGCATATGAATTTTATTTCATTAGACATTCACATTGTTAATCAAAATTTATTATTAAAAAAAAAAACAATTGTAACAATATATATATGTGTTGGGGGGGGGGGTCTTTGTTTTTTTTCTTCATCCTTCTTGGATGTTGGGAATTCTATATTTTTTTGGATTTTTTTATTTTAATTTAATCTTCATCCAATAATCACCAATAGATCCTTGTAAGAACCAAATGACACCAACTGTTAAGAACAGATAATTAATTTTGAAGCTTGAAAAAAAAACCTTGACGAGGAAAAAGTTGACTTCCTCTAAATACAAGGAAATATTAATGAAACCGAAGATGACATTCACTTCCAACTTTAAAAGGAAATATTAATGAAAGTCTAAAATAAAATCCCTAAGTTTAAGAACAGGTTATTGTTCCTTCCGGGCCAGGCCTCGCTGCGATGCGCGGGAAACTGAGCTCGTTGAAGACTAGGTTAGATTCAAGTCAACATAAAACTACGTACGTATAAAATTCTAATAATTGTAAACAACTTTTAAGTAGCTTTGCAATTCAATTAATCAAAATGTTCTTAAGAAGATGCTTCCATGAAACTACGTACGTATAGCTAAAAACAACTCCTAAATAATATACTGTTATTGTGTCAATTACAATATTATTTTATTTTTTAATTATGTTAAAAATTAACTTGAGATTTTATATATTTATATTAATACATATAATTTTTATTATATTTTATTATATATAAACGCCAACTTTATAATTACTTCACGATTAATTAATGTCCTACTCCCACCCCCTCACTTCACGGCCTCTGGACATGAGCAACCTTTTCAATTTAAATATAATATTCAATGATATTCGAATATTCAAGTCAACACAAACAAGAGTATAATATTCGAAAGAAGCCCTGAATGTACTCTGCACTACTGCTCACAATCTTTTTATGCAACCTATTGCGTTTTTTTTTTCATGAACAATTAAATTACTCTATTATATTTGCATTTTTTTTTTATTTTTGGCTTCAAGAGCTTGATTGTAATTTTATAATGATGTTTTTTGTTATTATTGTTTGGTCATAGAGGCATTTTTGGTTTTATACACATTAGAAAAGCTGATGTGTTAGTCATTTTATCGTCTTTAAATGATACATGCAGCTCATTATAATGGTTGAAATCAAGCTTCCATCACATTATGCGGTGCATTTCAATGTCATCTTCCTTTCTAATTAGTGCATATACAATTGTGGTTCAAGTCAAGCTTCCACCATATCATGTGATGCATTTCAGTGTCATCTTCCTTTCTTGGTAACGCATATGCAGTTATGGTTCAAATCAATTTCAGTGTCTTCTTTTTTCATGGGTAGTGCATGTCCAGTTGTGGAGTATGGTTTGGTGTCAATTGACTTTTTATTTTCCTTTCTTTTTTTCCTTATATTTCTTCCTCAAATTACGTGCTAACCATACAAAACATTATACCAGCTCTTCAATTTCTTTTTTTTTCTTTTGATTAAGTCATTCTTCTTTTAATTACAATTGTTTTATTTATATTGATTATTTCTAATTGAATTTTACTTTCAATTTTATCCTTAGCTGTTTGATTTTGTTAGTTTTTTTAATTTGATCCTTATTTTTTTAATTGTTATTTTTTTAATTATTTTATTGATTGATTTATTTTTCTTCAATTCCATCATTGAGCATTTCTTTTTATTCAATTTTTATGTCAAGTTTGGTGTCAATTCTTTTAATTGTTATTTTTTTTAATTATTCGCTTATTTGATTTTTTTTCCAATTCCATCTCTAAACTTTTAATTTCATTTAAATTTTTCCTTAACATTTAATTTCAACTAGTTTTATGTTGAATTTAGTTTCTAATTCTTTTAATTACTATTTTTTTTATTTCACATTGTTTTTTTATTGATTTTTTTTCTCAATTCCATCCTTAATATTTGTTTGGTTGAGAATCTTACTTCTTTGTCTTTTAAGGCTTGCCTTTAATGGAGTCACTCTAGTTTCATGATCTAAGTTATAGATATGAAAGATTAACTCGGGTTGAATTTGTTATTTTTTAAAGCATTTTTTTCTAATATTTTTTTTCTTGGTATTTTCTTAGTTTGTTATTTATGGGTTTATCTCAATTTCATGTCATAGGCTATGTGTTTGATCTATTTACCTGAGTTGACTACTAGATCTGCTCAATGCTTCTTCTTTTTTTTATCTTTGTTTTTTATATTTTTTTTCCATTATACCAGCAAGTGTCCATTCCTTATATTTTTCTATGTGTTTGACCTTTCATAATATTTTTTTATGGTATGAGTTTATTCAATTATTTTTATTTGTATTTTTCAATTAAGCAATGTGTTTTTTTCTGTATGGATTTATCTTTTATTTATTAAAATAAACAAGTTTAGTAAACATAATTAGTTAAATAAATGATCATCAATTTATTTAATTGAATGATTACATGGGATTTTCAAATGACATTTTTAATTTTTCATGTAAAAAACCACATTGGATCAATATGCACACCTAATAATTGTTTTTAAAAAAATTATAATATGCATGTCAAATTCATGATTTTAATGTTTTTTTTTACATTGTTTTTGGAAAAAAATTTTTTTTATTATTTACACTTAGTCTATTTATATCATTCTTTTTGTTTATTTTTTTATTTTGTAATTTTTTTCTTAAAACTTTTTGTTTTTAAAGATTTATTTTGCGCAGACTAAATGGTGTTATACTGTGTCAATTACAACATTATTTTATTTTATGGCTACATTAAAAATTAATTTAAAACCTTATATATTTTTATTAATACATATAATTTTTATTATATTTTATTATATATAATCACCAACTTTGTAATTACCTTCTCAATTAATTAACGCCCTACTCCCACCCCCACACTTCACGGCTTCTAGACATGGGCAACCTTTTCAATTTGAATATAATATTCGAATATTCAAGTCAACTCAAACAAGAGTATAATATTCGAATAATTGTAAACAACTTTGTAAAGCAAACAATTTTTTAGTAGCGACATGATAACGTTCACACTATTTTGTTTTTGGTACACGAAGCGATATTTTCTTAAGACGATGCTTCCATGAAACTACATATAGCTAAAAACGACCTCTAGACCTGAGCAACCTTTCCAATTTTCATTCCTTCTAGGAAATGACCTCGCAAGTTGGACTCTATCCTATGATTTTTAAAGCCAAATAAGGTTCTAAATTAAAAAAACCATAAGAATGTATGGTTGACTGGGTCAATTAAATTATAACATTGTTTTAAGATTTTTTTTTTGAAAAAGTAAAATAACATTGTTTAAAAAAAATTTAAAAATCAAATTTTATCTTGATCCGGTTGATTAATTCTCCGATTTACCTATAAAGTCAATTGAATTGCACCAATTAACTTCTATCTAATTTTATTTAAAACTTAATTCAAACTAAATTATTATTTAATAAATTGCTAGGCTTGGAGCCAAATTTAATAGTGGTCTCTGACATGCAGAAACCACTGCTAGATGTTCATGTCTTCTTCCTCTTCCTCTTCTTCTTCCTCTAGACTTGGATGGCATTATGATGTGTTTCTAAGTTTTAGAGGTGAAGATACTCGCAAGAATTTTACGGATCATCTTTACACTGCTTTACAAAATGCAGGAATCCATACATTTCGAGATGATAACGAACTTCCTAAAGGAGAAGAAATCTCCTCACACCTCCTCAAAGCAATTAAAGAGTCCAAGATCTCGATAGTGGTTTTCTCTAAGGGCTATGCTTCCTCCACTTGGTGTCTTGATGAACTTTCAGAGATTCTTGATTGCAGACAAACAGCTGGTCAGATTGTTCTACCAGTTTTCTATGATATTGATCCTTCTGATATTAGAAAACAGACGGGGAGTTTTGCTGAAGCCTTCGATAGACATGAAGAACGTTTTAAGGAAGAAATGGAGAAGGTCCAAAAGTGGAGAAAAGCTCTTGTGGAGGCTGGAAGATTATCTGGGTTGGATCTTCACAGTATCGCAAATGGGTACCTCTTTCCTTTCCCTATATCCATCGCAAATGCTTATAACTTTTACTCCAATTACATTTTGTAATTTAAACTAGCATCATATTCACCATCTTATTTCCAAATCAGCTTATGTTTCATTGATGAGTGATGACTTTCTTTTACTATGCACAGGCATGAATCAAGATTAATTCAAATGATTGTCGAAGAAGTTTTAAGTAAATTGAATCCCACATACATGAAAGTTGCCACATATCCAGTAGGTATTGATTCTCAAGTCAAAGATATCATTTCCATGTTATGTGTTGGTACAAATGAAGTTCGAATTGTGGGAATCTATGGGATGCCAGGAATAGGCAAGACAACCATAGCAAAAGCTGTTTTTAACCAAATTTGTCATCAATTTGAAGGAAGTAGTTGCCTTTTGAACATCAGAGAAAGGTTAGATCAACACAGAGGTCTACTTCAACTACAACAACAGCTTCTTCGCGATGCTTTCAAGGGATATATTCGGATTCATGATGATGATGATGAAGATGGCATCAAAAGCCAATTTTGTCGTAAAAGGGTACTTGTTATTCTCGACGATGTTGATCAATTGAAACATTTACGTGGATTGGCAGGAGAGCGAGACTGGTTTGGTCCTGGAAGTAGAATCGTAATTACAACTAGAGATGAACGTTTACTCACACGACTTGAAGTGGAAAAAAAATATCACGCAAAAGGACTGAACAATGATGAGTCTCTTCAACTTTTCAGTTGGCATGCCTTTAAGAAGCCCCATCCAATGAAAGAATATGTTGAGCTGTCTAAAGTTGTTGTTGATTATGTTGATGGAGTTCCATTGGCTCTTGAAGTCCTAGGCTCTAAGTTGTTTAAAAGAAGCATCACTCACTGGAGAAGTTTTATAGAGAAATTGCAAAAACATCTTCCACATCAAATTCAGAGGCAACTTATAACTAGTTTGGATGATTTGGATGGTGAAGTGAAGGGTATGTTCCTTGATATTGCGTGTTTCTTTAATGGTATGGATAAAGATTACGTGGGAAAAATTCTCGATGGTCGAGGTTTTTATCCAGAAATGGGTTTTGATATTCTCGGGGAAAGATCCCTTTTAACAGTCAACAGTGAGAATGAGTTACAGATGAATAATCTCTTACGAGACATGGGAAGGGAGATCATTCATCAAATGGCTCCAAACCATCCCGGAAAGCGTAGCAGACTTTGGCATCCCGAAGATATAATGGACGTACTCGATAAATATTGTTCGGTAATAACTAATTGTTCTTCATTTAGGCAACATTTGATGAAAACTTTTTCCACAGATAATAAACTATTCTTTCCTGTTTAATTCTTGTTTTTTTAGGGCACAGAGGCAGTGGAGGGTATCGTGCTAGACGCTCAAGCATCAAAAGATGTAGTTCCAAGCACATCATTTGCACCAATGACATCTTTGCAGTTGCTCAAATTCAGTGGAGGACAAGTCCGCGGACACTACGAACATATTTCCAAGGCATTGATATGGCTTTGCTGGCATAAATTCTCTTTAAAAACCTTACCACACAAATTTCGATTAGACAGCCTAGTTGTTCTTGACATGCAGCACAGCAACATCAGAGAACTCTGGAAGGAGACCGAGGTATGAAGCAGATGATTAGTCTTTTGTTTCCATAAAATAGTTTGTATTAGTGGAAGTTATGTTTCTATTCCCTTGCTCACTTCGATTTTTTTCTTCTCTTCTGGCTTCGACAGTGTCTAAACAATCTGAAAGTCATCGATCTCAGCAATTCTAGGTTCTATGCTAAAACACCAAACTTCTCTGGACTCCCTAGTTTGGAGAGACTAATTCTAGAAAATTGCACAAGTTTAGCTGATATTCACCAATCTGTTGGAGAATTGAAAAAACTTGTTTTCTTGAATTTAAAGGGATGTTACGGGCTACAGAATCTTCCAGAAAGAATTTCTGAGTTGAAATCTCTTGAAACGATGAACCTGCAGAGCTGCCCTAGTCTCAAGAAATTGCCAGAGAAATTGGGTAATATGCAAGTCTTAACTGATCTTCTATTAGATGAAACTGGAGTTCAGAATCTACCCTCTTCCACTGGAATTTTGAAGAAGCTCAAAAAGTTATTGGTACGTGGAAGTGGACTGGAACTTCACCGTCCGCGTCAGCAAGCTTCCTACTCTGGTCGTACACGCCGGCCCCTGGAATTTAAACTTCAGCCTCAGGAAGCTTTCCCTTCTCCGGTTTCAAATGCCTTTCACTCGAAAGAGCTTGCTCTCAAGCAACAACCTTTCCTGCCACCCTCCTTCTCTGGTTTAAGCTCATTGACAACACTTGATATTAGTAATCGCTATTTATCTAACAATGATATTTCCATCAATCTTGGGAGTTTATCCTCTCTCCAGGATCTGAATTTGGCAGGAAATGATTTCTCCGAGTTGCCTGCCGGCATTGGCCACCTTGCAAAGCTAGAGAAACTGGACCTGTCATGGTGTCGAAATCTTCTGTTTATCTCAGAGGTCCCCTCGAGTTTAAGAGCTTTGGTGGCACGTGATTGCACATCATTGGAAAAGGTGTCAATTCAGTCAAAAACAGCGCCGGATCTGTTACTGGGTGGCTGTGGAAAACTAGCTGAGATTCAAGGCTTGGAGAGTGTAGAAAACAAACCAGTCATTCGCATGGAAAACTGTAACAATTTGTCAAACAATTTTAAGGAGATTCTTCTTCAGGTTTTGTCCAAGGGAAAGCTTCCTGACGTTGTTCTCCCGGGTAGCGATGTACCGCATTGGTTTATGCAATATCAAATAGATAGATCTTCCTCAACATTTCGTATACCACCCATTTCAGCTGGTTTAAGTCCAGGACTAATTGTTTGGACTGTCTATGCAGCCATTGAAGTCGCCAGATGTACACGACCGTACTTGAACATTCAAATTCCAACTTGCATTTCTCTTTGTTCTGCTTCTATTAGAAAAAAGAAAGATGATAATGAATTGTTTTATACACTACCATGCTTGGACATTTCTTCAAGGCATGGAGGTTATGATGGAGATCATTCTTGGGTGATCTATATCCCATTTAGCAGGATTCAAGGTGCAATAGAAGGTGGAGACGAATTGGAAGTGTCTGTCAAGCCAGGCGATAATGCTATTGTAAAGAAGTGTGATGTTGTAAGCAAGTTATGATTTTTATTGTATAACTTTATTAAGGAATTAGTTGGATTATATATTAGTTGTATTATAACTTTCAATATGAATTTCAGAGATTCAGATTCAGATCTTAGACTACTATACATAGTGTTTTCTAGCTTATTTTTAGAACAATTTAAAATTATCAACATTTATAATTTATCAACATAGAGTTTTTTTGTTTTTTGTAATTTAACTTTAATTTTAAAATTTAAGAAATCTTGGTTTCTTTCTATCGATATGCTTTGTGTATCAAATGATTTTTTAAATAATTATTTTTATTATATGATGATGTAGTTAGATCTGATATAGTTCTACATCTTTTGTTATAGTTGTATATCTTTCAATATTTTTGTTTTTATAAGGATTAGGATTTAGATGTAAACTAGTATAAATAGTTAGCTTATTTATCAGAATACTTTAAAACTGTTAACATTTAAAATTTATCAAAAATATTTTTGGTTACCGTTTTGTTGTAGTTTTAGAGCTTGATTTCTTTCTATTCTCTATGCACTGCTATCGGCAGTTTAGGCTTAAATAGACTTGAAGGAAAGCAATTAAATGAACTTTTAGTCATGGGATGAATTCAAAATCAAACAATAATTAGGAGCGATTTTTAAGATTTTTAATACATGCATAAATTGGGGATTCTTAATCCCACCACAATTTCATAACAAAAATGTAGTTAAAGCTTAAAAAAAAAAAAAAAAAATCCCCTCCTCTCACATTGCTGTCGGCCTTATTAGAGAGGAGGGAGGGGTTGTTTTTCCTTTTGATTACAGAAATACCCTATCTCGCTTATTTATGTATTAATCTCCATTTACTGCTGTGTGTGTGTGGTGTGTGTGTTGTGTATCTTATCAATCTCTATTATTACTCGTCCAAGATTCCATATTATGTAAATTGTAAGATTTTCATCTTTTAATTTAAATTTGATTTAAATTCACTATCATTTTATATAAAATCAAGTCATTAAACTCATGGATTTAAATTTTCAAGTCAGGGTTTTTATAAACTTTGCCATCTTGTTCAATTTCTTCAATTACTGATCTTAATAGTTTCTTAGAAATCATTTCTGCCTTAATTATTCCTGCTTGGGTTTAATTCTTGCTACCAAAGACCTGTTTATTTGACCTATTTGCCCTAAATCTATTTTTAAAAATTATTTAAAATCTATTAAATTTTGTCTGGACTTTTGGATGGTGTCAAATGGAGTTTTAACAGTTATCCTATTTTACAATGCTTACAACACAAAACACGATGCGAAAATACCTTTTCATTTGCAACACTCGCAAGATAATGCTGTCCCTTTTCAAATGAAATTGAATTTGGCCTTGGAAATCTGCCAGAAATTGCGAGGAACCACGCAGCAAAATCACACGAAGATGGCTGACTGCAAAGCCACCCAAGCGAACTACAACAGACTCAAGCACAGATATCGCATGCAACATCAAACAAGCAGTTTTCAGGTATCAATCGCTGGACTGTCATCGTTTAGGTCAAACGAGGCTAGCATCTGGTGGAGCTGAAATGCTGGCGGAAGGTTTCATTTGAGCACAGACTTCGATGGCTCCTTGAACTGGGTCCGATAGGAAGTTCCGAGGAGGTCGTGGCTGGTAGGAGCACCATTATCCGCTGCTTCCAGTGCCTGCTGGGTGATCATGTGTGAGATGATGGCAAATGAATCTTAAGGAACAAGAAAAATTCTCATCACATATTAGAATGTTGGCTACATAAAACCAATGCCCCTGCAAGAACATCATCAATTCCTTACTTCTATATACTGCAGGGTTCAAGGACAGATTGATATCAAGGAGATTGCTTTTCAGCTTGTCACATTGTTTTAGTTCAGTTTCTCTCCAGTAGTCTCCGTCAAATATGACGAAGTAAAACACCAACCCACATCAAGGTCTTTCAGGTAAATCTTACCATCTGTTGAGGATGATTTTGGGGGTGAGCAAGTGTATGTAGGGTAACTGCTCGACAAAATGTCCCAGCTAAACACCTCTCTCCATCCCCCCCAACGCACCACCTACACGGCTCCTCCAAAATCCTCAGACCACCATGCTAAACACCTTTCTCAAAACAACATAACAACCTCACCTTCTCAAAAATTCCCGGATACAAACCTTCCCATACCTGTTCCATCCTCTGCACCTACCTGCAAAACCCCTATCCCTGCACCCTGTGCCTCCATTACCAATGATGCAGAACATGTTAAGCTGTTCTTTGAGAGATTTCCGTCATGGGTGGACTATCAAGATCTGAAAAGGGCTTTTTTCAAACTTAGCCGGGTTATCAAACTTTTTGTATCCAAGCGAAAAACTGTTCTTGGAAGACGATTTGGTTTTGTGGACATTTCATCCTCCTTATCTGTCTCAACTCTCTGTGATCAAGCCAGCCGGATTTGGTTTGATACGTCTAAACTAATAGTGAACCCACCTAAACATCACTCCCTTAAAACTTCCCCTTCACCACCAAAACAATTACCCAAGCCTGCAACACCATACCACCTCCAGCTTTCTTTGATAGATCATAGATCTTTTGCTGAGGTACTCACATACACAAAACCTCAAATAGCCACTACAAGAAGAAGAATGGTGCAATACGAATCCACGGAGGAAGATAAGGAATGGTTATATAGGAGCTTGGTAGGAAATATTCTGCCAAATGTTAACGTTGCAACCCTGGAGGCAACGATATTGAAATCAGTTGCTAATACTGTGAGCTTCAGATTCCTAGGAGCTAGTCAGGTGATCATCACCTTTATGGATCAGTTGGCTTCAAAGAAAGAACAAGACAATAAGGAGTCCATTTTGAAATCACTACTCAGCAACCTTAGACAGTGGGAAGGAAGGACTAGAGCTTATGATAGATTTGCTTGGATAGCCATCTTTGGCTTACCAATGGAAGGTTGAAACAGAAACTGCTTTGACACTATTCTGCAGAGTTGGGGAACTATTGCTGGTTACGACACAACATGTGTTAGTCAAGGGTCAATATCAGGTATCAGGGTTCTTATTAGAACCATAAAAATGGAACCTTTGCATGATGAGGTGAGTCTCAAGCTTGACGGAATACAAGTTGAGGTCCTTTTAAACGAAATAAAGGGTGAGTTCATCCCTTCCCTCACAACAGTCAAACACTCTATGGACGTATCTCTTTACACAGAATCTATGCTATCCGATGATGAAGAAGAGTAAACGGAAACTATCTCTGCAGCATCAATCCCCAGGGCTTCAGGACAAAATACTGAGTTTGAATTCATTTGTATGTTGGGCAATCAAGATCAGAACGACATCACATTTCTCAACACTGGCATATCACCGCTGTACCTGCATCCAGAAATTACAGAATTATGCAGCCATACAACTTTACCTGAAGAGCTGGTGTACGAAGACGGTAACCATTTGGCTTTGGTAATATATGATAATGCTGGGGTGGCTACAACTGATCCTAGAGAGGGAGATGTGCAACAAGTCGTGTGTATGCTTGAAAGTGATGGGTTGGATCAGGAGAAGGGTTACAATAATGGAGATGTGAAGAAGATGGGCCGGGTAAAAAAGCAGAAGCCCTTCAGAATGGACCAATATAAGGGTAATAGTAGAAGCTCAAGCATTGGGCTGTCTTTCGCAAATTTTGTTATCCCCATTGCAGACCAAACTGAACTCGTTGATCTAGAATTGCAAAATAGGAGATCTCAAAGGAATAAAGCAAAGAAGCTGTCACGTAGAGCACCGACTGTCAAGAGAAGAAAACCACGAAAAATGGGAAATCAAAGTTCCAAGAAAACTGAGTTAGGCATAATTGATTACTCTGTCTCTGATAATGGAATCGTGAATAGAAATGTCATTATTCGATCTGGGAAGGAAATAGCTGGCGAAGATGAGGTAACCAGCTCGCACTCTCATATCTCTCTAACATCTAGTGATCCGGCACGTGAACCAATACAACCTGACCTCAGGGAAGAAGCAACTGCTTGCTGGGATGTGGGAAAAGCGGTATTGCAAGTCCATGATGATAGCCATCTCATGACACAGACACTGCAGAGCTTTATAGAAAAAGAACAGGAGTGGATGAGAAGGAAGGAGCAGTAAGGATGCTGTTTCTGTCTCAATGAAGGTATGTTTATTAATCCTTGGTATGGGTAGTATTATTATTTGGAATGCGTGTGGTATAGGAGCCAGAGTTAAAAAAAGATGTGTGAGGAATCTTATGCAAAAATTCAGTCTAGATGTTCTGGGTATTTTGGAAACGAAATTGGAAAATATTAATGACTGTATTATTAATTGGAGTTGGGGTAGAGTTTCTAGGGATTGGTATGAAGTACCTTCCTTAGGTCTTTCTGGGGTATCCTATGCATATGGAACCCAACTTCTTTTTGTGTTTCCAATTGCTCTGTTGCTATGAATGGTCGTATTCTTCATGTTGAAGGTGTGTTTTCTCGTTTCAATATGGAATGTTTGGTGTCTTTTGTATATGCCCCAAATGATGGCTCTCTGAAGAAGGAACTGTGGGAATACCTTGCTAATTTCAAAAGCAGCGTTAGCAAGCCATGGTGTCTTGCAGGTGACTTCAATGAAACTCTTTTCCCATCAGACAGAAAAGGAGGCTCTAGAATATCTTCTGCCATGATAAGTTTTAAGAATTGTATTGATTGTTGTGATCTTGTTGAACTTCCTTTAAAAGGGAAAAAATTTACGTGGTCTAGGGCAAATGTTGCAAGTCGTATTGATAGACTATTTGTGTCGGGTGATTAGCTTCAGTCTCTCCCATCTTCTACTCTGTATGGGTTGTCGAAGAACTTCTCTGATCATAGACCTCTGCATATGCTAATAGATTCTACAAACTGGGCCCGAAGCCCTTCCGGCTTATGAACTGCTGGTGGCTCATATCTGGCTTTAGAAAGATGATTCAGGATTATTGGAATTCAACCTTGACAATCGATGTTGGCCCCAGCATCACGGTTACTAAAAGACAGATGCAAGGAATGGAGCAAAGATGTTGTGGGCAACACTTGCAGGAAAATCAAAGATCTAGAAATGGAAGCAGAATCTCTAGACTCTCAAAAAGAAAACAGAGACTTATCAACTGCAGAATTAATCAGAAGCAATGCCATTTCCTCTAGCCTTAGAACCTTGTACAGAATGCAAGAATCTGCTTGGCACCAAAAGTCGCGAATCCAATGGTGTAAGCTTGGAGACAGAAACACTCGTTTCTTTCATCTATCAGCCACAACAAGACATAAAAGGAATCAGATTTTCTCCTTGGATGTTGATGGAACAACTCTAACTAAACCGTTTGATGTGAAGATAGCTGTATTTGATTTTTTTAGTAAGTTATACTCTCAGCATGACAGACCTAGAGCCTCCTGCTGTAATCTGGACTTCCTAAAGCTTCAGCCCACATCATTCACTGTTTTAGAAACTTCGTTCTCTACTGAGGAGATAAAATCTGCAGTTTGGGATTATGAAGGAAACAAAGCTCCAGGATGGTATTAATTTCTTCTTTATCAAGAAAGCATGGAACATTATAGGGGGGGATATTGTTCGAATGGTGGATGACTTCTATCGGACAAACCTCCTTCCTCCAGACATCAACAAATCCTTTGTTACTCTTATCCCGAAGATTCAAGGTGCCAATAAGTTGAAAGATTTTAAGCCTATCAGTCTGGTAGGAAGCCTTTACAAGATCATTTCAAAGATTCTGGCAACCAGAGTGAAGCAAGTTATGTCAGAATTCATCAGTGATCATCAAACTGCCTTCATAAAAGGAAGACAAATCCCAGACAACATTTTGATAGCTAATGAGGCGATTCACTTCTTAAAGAAAAGAAAGGGCAAAGGATATCTATTCAAACTAGACTTTCACAAAGCTTTTGATTCTGTTTTATAGAAATACATTAATGAAGTAATGGCTGCTATGGGTTTTGGGAGCAGGTGGCGAGGTTGGATCATGCAATGCATTACAACAGCTAAGATGTTCGTGCTTGTCAATGGATCTCCAACAGCAGAATTTAACTTGAAAAAAGGTCTTCGACAAGGAGACCCCCTCTCTCCTTTTCTTTTCAATATTGCAGTTCAGGGATTGAGTTGTATGTTGCAGAGAGGCTGTGATTTGGGTTTGATCGAGGGTATTAAGATTGGCCAGAATGGATTTATTTTATCTCACCTCCAATTTGCAGATGACACTCTTATTTTCAGCTTAAATTCCTTATTCAGCATGCAAAATATCAAGCACATCCTCTTGTGCTTTGAATTAATGTCAGGATAAAAAGTTAACTTTTGCAACATCTTTGGTGTGGGTATAGATGATCATATATGTAATTACACTGCACAAATTCTCCGATGTAAGCAGGAGCACCTTCCATTCAAATATCTTGGCCTTCCTATTGGTGCAAGCTCTTGTATAACTTCGATGTGGAAGCCTATTCTCTATAATATCAGTGTTAGGTTGGCTTCGTGGAAAGGTAGGCTATTATCTATTGGGGGTAGATTGTGCTTAATCAAATCTGTCTTAGGTATTTTGCCCATTTACTTTCTATCGTTGTTTCTCATGCCTGCGACAATTGCAGCATCCATTGAAAAGAAATTCAGATCCTTCTTATGGTCCGGAAAAGAGGGAGGTAAGAACATATGCAATGTTAGATGGTTAATTATTTCTCTGCCAAAAAAGGATGGTGGTCTTGGGATCGGATCTCTAAGGGACAAAAACAAAGCCTTGATGTTCAAATGGTTATGGAGATTTGGTTTAGAGGAGTCGAGCATGTGGAAGGTTGTGATTAACAGCATATACAACACTAAAAACTCCTCAATTATTTTGAAATATCCTATTATAGGAACTGAAAGTACTTGGTCTCGTATTGTTAATCATTGTGTTACAGATACCAATCTGCAAGACATTGTGGAACAACAATCTCAGTGGAACAACACTCGTAGTATGTTGGTAAGAAGAGGTATATTGGACATCTCAGATGTTGTTTGTCCCATTTGCTTAGTTGAGGAAGAATCGATTGATCATATCCTTCTGCATTGTCACAAACATTGGATAGTTTGGTCTTAAATTATCAATTGGTGGGGCTTAGCGTGGTGTTGCCCAAAGAACTTGGCAACCCTTTTCTCTCAGTGGGATTCTTTGGTTTTTGGAAAATTTCAGAAAAAAGCTTGGTTGATGCTGTTCTTTTCAGTGGCATGGTCTCTTTGGCTTTATCATAATGATGTGATATTTAAGCAGACGACCTTGAATTATGATACTTTATTTATCCTTATTATTACTCGTTTCTATTTTTGGATAAAGGCTATAGAAACTGATTTCTCTTATTCCGCTTCAGATTTAATAAGGTTAGTAGAAGGGTTATTATGATGGACTAATTCTAAAAATCAAAGGGCAGTTATTGTGTGGTCTCCTCCTATAATTAATAGCTTCAAATGGAATGTGGATGGCTCCTCTCTCGGGAAGCTGGGGCCCTCAGGTATAGGCGGAGTCTTGCAAAATCATAATGGGATCATTCTTAGCATTTTCTCCTTGTTAGTTGGGATTTTAGACTCCAATGTAGCCGAGCTAAAAGTGGTTGTCAAAGCTATTGAATTATCAGCTTCTAATTACTACTTACATCATAAACATATTATTATTGAATCTGACTCGGCCAATGTCATTAGTTGGATGAATAATCCCCATAATAGGCCATGGCTGCATCGCAATCTTTTCTCCTCTATTTAGAGAGTAGTTTCATGTTTTGGTTCACTCACATTCACTCATTCTCTTCGTGAGGGTAATCATATGGCAGATCACATGGGTAAATAGGGAGTGTTTAGAAACTCTGAATTTGTTGCTTGGCTTTAATTTGCTTGATATGTGGGTCTTCTATTTTCTTGAATTTCTAGGCACGGCTGCTGGGGAAAATGGATTGTTTCCCAGGTTGGTTCAGTTTCTTGTAGATTTTAATGAAGAGTTGTAGGATTCTGTTTTGGTTTGTGCTAATGTCCATAATCTGTAGATTGCTTTGGTTCTACAAAGGGTCCCCTTGTGCCAAAACTTGAGGGACGACTCCTAAAACTTGACTACCTCCTAAAAATGCAGCTATTGACACCAATGAAGTTCCTCTCTTCTATTAGCTACTAGTTGTTTCTTTTTGGTTTCCTGGTTTGTTGTTATTTTCAGTTCATAGATCTGCTAAACTTGAGCTGTAAGCAGTTTCCTATGTTTTATGTCTTCTCCGCCTAATTTTAGTGTCTTTTAATGCAATATTATGCTTCTAAAAAAAAACTTAGAGAGATCAGTGAATAGAATGAAATAGGTACTTTCGAAGCTGCACCCATACCGCTAAAAATATAGTTTTCAATTGAGTTCATCGTAAATTATCTAGTTGATTTTATGGACCCTACTAGATTATAGAGAATATCAGACCCGCTGCATACAAGTTACAGTTACTGAAAGGGGCGCGCATTCACCCAGTGTTTCACGTGTCACTGCTTGAACGATATAGGGACAGCAAGGGCATTGCTGAGGCGAAACCAGCCGAGTTACCACCATTCACTAATGAAGGGGTAGTCATTTTGGAGCCTCAAACTATTTTTTACTACCATTGTATCAAGCAAGAAACCCAGCTTGTTGAAGAGAGCTTAGTGCAATGGAAACTCCTTCCAGATAAGGAGGCAATATAGGAACCAACACAGAAGCTACGAGAGATTTTTCCAAATATAGACCTTATGAAAAGAGATCCACTCGATGGGGGAGGTATTATTAAGCCACAACATTCTAAAAGGGTAGTAAGCCAAACCCAAATATTTAGGATGAGTTGGACCATTGCATGCAACATACAACGTGAACAATGGATGGGGTACATGAAGAATAATGCAGAAATGGATTGGGTCTTGATAGTTGAGAGTTCTACATGCAGAAGTGGAATGGGTAAGCAGTAGTGAAGAGTTTGCATGTTTATTTTCGTTAGTTATGCTCTGTTTTAAAATGTATTTGAATTATAGTTGTTAGCTACTAGTTTTCCTTATATTTCAGCATTTTATGCATGTTTATATGATTAGTATTTAAAAATATATTTTTATCAAGATTTTATATTATTATTTTGTACTTGAAATATTAATAACTCTTTAACTAAAATATGTTTTATAATAACATATCTAATAATATAAGATACCTTTAATTTATGATAAATGTTCATTTTAAATACAAGTCTATCACATAATAAAAGAATTGATTGATAAGTTTAAGAACTAAAATTGAAAGGATAAAAAGATGGTCAAGCTTAGAAAATAGATAATGGTGTAGTCCAAACCGGAACACTGTTCGGTAATTGGATCATATTTGGAGTTGTAGATCTCAGAATTAAGTCTACTTTATATGGATGGAAAGGCAACTATGCCTACAACTTTCATATGAAGCTTACGATTTAATAAGGTTATTTTCAAGTTCAAATTGTAACAACAATGAAAAAATTTGAATTTTTCATCTAGCCTGAACATTGTTCAGTGTTTGGTCCATATTTGAAGTTTTAGAAGTCTAAATGACCTTTATTTTTATTTCCTGGAAAGTTGAGATAATTCTCTACAACTTTCATATAAGGAGTTCTAGAAGTCCAAATGGTCCATAATCATGAATGTCTAACAATATTTATAAATATTAGTATTATTCAAATAAGATAACTAATGTAATCATGTTAAAAATTTATAATCTGATTAGAATCTCCCTTATGTGTGGTTTTCAATTGAATAATAAGTGTTTATACTATACTTATTTGACATCGTATTAGTGGATCATCTAACCTTGACATTTGGTGTTATCATTGTTGCTATTATTGTTATTGTTATTATTATAGTTGTATTATTGTTATCTATAATTTATACAATTAACCTTCCTATGATTCAACCCTATTCTTACCGGGTTATTTATTACTTTGACACCCCTGCACTTAGGAGAAGACATCAATCTTTTA